AGTCACCTTATACAAGACAACTGATGAATAACCTGGAACCCTGTTCTCTGAGTCAGGAGACATGCATTTGAGCCCTTGAGATCATGTCTGTGAGTAGGGAGAGGGTGTTTTCTTTCAGGCTTGGGTTTCAGAGGACCCTAAAGGGAAGAAAGACCCCTTGTTTTCAAATCCCTTCCATTCCAAAATGCCTGCAATCCCTTCCCATCCTGTCATGGTCTCTTTCCTGTTTCTGTCATCCTTACCTGGGTCCCAAGCCTGTTTTCCCACCTGGGGGCAGGACCGGGGCTGTTCGGTATTTCTCTGCGATTCTCTGAAAGGGCTCTTGGCCTCTTGACATATCAGTGAGGCCGCTGAAGAGTCTACAGAGCCCAGGCCATTCCTGCCCTTTGCTCTGCACCAGAGAAGGAGCCGTTCACTGGTCACTCATTTATTGAGTGCCTACTGTGTGCTAAGCACAGGCTACAGAGTGTGCGAGTCTCCTCACTGCTGTGCAGTGAGATGCCAGCTCTGAGTGTGAGGGAGGGCAGAGTCAATGCAGCTTGCAACGGCGAAGACTGCATTTATGCAGGACTGCTGCCTGACACCGAGAGTCCAGGAAGAAACCCAGTGGGTTCAGTGTGGGCCTTGTGTGAAGTGCCAGCGATGAGGACAGGAGACACAGAGAAGAGAGTTGGCCCGCCGGCTTGTCAGCTGTGACATCCAGGTAGGAAGAAGCGGCACCACGTCCTCTGGGAAGTCTGCGGTGGGGGCTTTTACTCTGAACCTTGGGCCTCATCCTCTCTGCCTGGGGAGAGTTTGGTGTATGAACCATGGTTAGTGGGGGGGTCTTGTCTGGCTCCTCCACCCTTGGAAGTCTTCCCTAGTCACACTGAAGGCCTTCATCTTCCTAACCCCTCTCTCCTGTCTGAAGATATCTAGGGCAATGGAATTGCAGGCTCATCTGTCATATCTTCCATTATTCAGTTGCTAATGCCTCCAGAGCATGGATGGAGCCCACCCTCAGTTATCCTCTTTAAAGGTGGGGAAGGCTATCCAAGAGTCCTGGGAACATGGCAGCTGACATGAACTAGGAAGCAGGAGACACAGTTTAGTCCTGACTCTGTTATCAGCTCACTGTGTGACTTTGGGCCAGTAGCTTCCCATCTCTGAAAAATGATGACTGACTCCTAATATTCCTGCCCACACCATGCATGGAGGAACGTTCATCTCTATTTGTTATCGAGGTGACTTCCACGGCTCTTGAATGGAGTGAGTCGAGCAGGTGTTCTACCAGGGGTGCTAGGGAGGGGAGGGGTCCAGAAGTCTGCAGCTCCAGTGGAAGAGGTTAGGCACTAGGGAAGGCAGACTGGAGCTCAGTATCTGTGACCTGCTGGGGCGCCCACTGCCTGTCCTCTTGTGCCCACTCACTTGAGCCGTGACCTTTCCCCAACCTGATTGATTTACCTACTTTCATGTCTGGTCCCCTGGAACCATTTGGGGCTGTGGCCTCTGCTAGAAGGTGTGAGCTGATAACTGCTTATGGTGTTATTCCTCCCAGAGTGATCTGCACTTACTTACAGTTGTTGAAGGCAGAAAATCTCTGAAGACTAAAGGCGTGACCCTCTAATGATCAATGATTAGTATAACGATCAGTGATTAGAGCTTTGCAAACAGTGAGGGAATAGGGGATGTTCCAAGGTCTGGAAAACTAGGCTTCAGTCCCTATGGTTTCAGCTGGCCCTGAGGGGCAGGGGTGGGGGCAGGGCAGAGTGTGCCTGGGTGTGTCATGGGTGGGGAGGGTGCAGCTTCTGGGCCAAAGCGATTTCAGTCTTGGATCATCAAAAAGACCACCTCCTTGCACTCGACTGCCTCCCCTGGGGGCCTCCCCATGATGGCTTGTGGGGAGCCTGTCTGTCTAGCTGCCCAACCCCCACCTTGGAGACTGGCAGCAAAGTGTATGGCCATTTTCCCATGATGCCCTTGCAACCACCAGCAGCCCTCCTCTACCTTCTGTGGACAGACTTCTCTTGCCCAGGAGGCCCTGGAACGTGTGTTCCACCTGATACGCTGGCGGTGGGAGAGAGAAGTGGTAGAGAAGAGAGAGGCAGCAGAGGTGGACTGTCTTGGGAACCAGGTAATGGCAGGGCCAGGGCCAGGGCCAGGGCCAGGGCTGGGGCCTTGCAGATGCAATCATTTCTCCGGCATCCCGAGAGGTGAGGAAACACCATGGACTGATTGATTTATTCACTGGTTCATTCACTGATTCCTTCCTCCCGCTCCTCCATTCTCCCTCTGCTCTCCCTTCACAGACACCTAGTGGTGCTTCTAACAGGTAGAAACTGCTGGGAACTGGAGATACAGAGGCGACAGCAGACCTGATGCCTGCCTGTTGGGGGGCCTCCATTCTGGGGACACCAGCCTGCCATGTGACCCAGCAAGACAGCGTAATGCAGTATGCCAGGAACAGGGTCACACCAGGCAATGGCGACAAGCTCTGTCTGTGTAGGGCAGGTGGTCAGGGAAGGAGAGCTGGTTAGGATGGGGCTGGGAGTCAGGTCAGTGAGGCAGGCCTGAAGGATGCGGTGAGTCGTGTTAGGGGACTGGACTTGGTCCTGAGAGCACTGAGGGAGTGGAGGGTACAAGTTGGTTTCTTTTCTTTTTTTTGTTTTTTGAGACAGAGTCTCGCTCTTGCCGCCCAGGCTGGAATGCAGTGGCTCGATCTCGGCTAACTGCAACCTCCGCCTCCTGGGTTCAAGCAATTCTCCTGTCTCAGCCTCCCGAGTAGCTGGGATTACAGGCACCCGCCACCACGCCCAGCTAATTTTTATATTTTTCGTAGAGACAGGGTTTCACCACGTTGGCCAGGCTGGTCTCGAACTCCTGACCTCAGGTGATCCACCTGCCTCAGCCTCCCAAAATGCTGGGATTACAGGTGTGAACCACCACACCCACCCGGCCGGTTGGTTTATTTTCTTTTGATTTTGTTTTTCCCTTTTCACTGAAAGATTTAAGCAGAGTAGTGGCTTCTCAGATTTGTACTTTTTTTTTTTTTTGAGACAGTCTTCCTCTGTCACCTGGGCTGGACTTGACTCACTGCAACTCCTGCCTCCTGGGTTCAAGTGATTCTCCAGCCTCAGCTTTCGAAGTAGCTTGGACCACAGGCACCTGCCACTACACCGGGCTAATGTTTGCATTTTTAGTTGTATTTTGTATTTTTAGTCGCCATGTTGGCCAGGCTGATCTTGAACTCCTGACCTCAAGTGATCTGGCTGCCTTGGCCTCCCAAAGTGCTGTAATTACAGGCGTGAGCCACTGCCTGGCCCAGATACGCACTTTTAAGATCATCTGGGTGCTAGGATTTGAAGATTTAAGCACTTCTTATCTCTAGTGGTTGACTTTTTTTTTTCCCCCCTCTAATTCCAGGCTTTAGACCTAAAGTAATTTTGAAACGCTGGTAGAACTAGATCCATCATTGTCTGTTCCTATCCCTGCAGCCACTCCTTAGGACCACCCCTCTAAGGAAACAACCAGAAAGCCTAGCATGGACAAACCATACTGGCCCCACCTCTGCACAGCAATGCCAGCCTGGCCTGCCTCTGGCCAGAGCATCTCCCCTCACCCACCTGGTTTGTTTGTGCTGAGGACAACTCAACCCTCCCCAGGGGCATGTTGAGGGCAGGTTTGGGCAATACTTACCCTTTTTTCTCCTTGGCTGGATCAGAGGTCTTCTGCATTTTACAGATGGAGAAACTGAGATGTAAGGAGGTTAAGTGACTTGTCCAAGGTCACACAGAAAGAGGCCGAGCCAAGATTCAAAGTCTCACTTCACAGTACTGGTTCTGCTCTATCTTGGGAAGTGTCTCCAGCATAGATGAGGAGAGGGCAGCCAGTGAACTTATGATGGGTCCCCAGGAGGCAAGGCAGGACTGCTTCCCTCCTTATCCCCACGCTAACGCCCACTCACCTCTCTTCCCCAGGCACTTCCCCCATTGCCCCAGATTTCCCTTGCCTTAGAGCCTGGGCCTCCTGGAAGGAAATGGCATGTGGTCTGGGGGTGGAGGCTGTTACGCTGGGCAAAGACATTTTAATCCCTGAGCTGATGGGGCGGGCGTCCTGAACCAAGAACTGTGGATTGACATTCTCATTCTTCCATTAGCTTCTGTGACCTTGGCCAAAGCCTTCTCCCTCTCTGACCTTAACCTGAACTTCTGAACTGGGGCTTGCTCAGTTCTGCTGAAAGGGAGAGTTGCTTCCTAGTTGAGAGAGTGACAGTGGGTTACATTCATTAGACTGTCTTCACACGTCTGTATCCCCAGTTCCTGGCACTGAGCCTGGCACACATAGGATCGCAGCACACGTGGGACACAGAATGCTGAATGAGGAGTCCTTTCTCTGAGAGTCTGGGAATAGGGAAGAGGCTGGAGTCCCCTTTTCCAGGAAAGCTAAAGATAGACAAACAGAGCCCTAGAGTAATGCAAGCTGCCTGCCAGGACGCTGGGAGCTGGGCTTGCATCAGAGGCTCTTTCTTCCATCCCCAGTTTCCCTAGGGGTAGCGCTGGAGCTCCTGGAACCAGCAGGGACCTGGCTAGGGACAATATAAACCCTCTTGCCTCTCACAACTTGTGTTGTCGTACCTTTCAGGATCAGGAACGGATTGTTTTCTAAGCCTTGGACTAATTCACTCACTTCCCATCTGCTTCCCTCACATCCCACCATGACATCAGTGGCTGGGGCAGCTATCTTGAGCTGGAGTTGCCCAGCCTGGCCAATAACTGGAAAAGTCTCTTTGGAGATTTGGACCCATTCTGAAAACCACTTTGCCTTGGTAAGAGGCAGCCTTCAGGTGCAAGCTGGAGAGAATGGTCACTTACGAATTCCATAGGACTGACCTTTCTCCCCCACTGGGTTTCTGTGCCTGGCGGGGGGCATTCGGAGACATTGGTTCCCATTCACTCTGAAAGGACTCCTACCCCCACCCAGAGCCCTCCATATCCATTTAACCCAAATCCCCAACTCCAGGAATGATTACAGGTTGGGGGAGCCCCGAGAGCAAGGGAGGTAAGTGATGTGATCATCCATTCTTGTCACCTCATTTTTTTTTTTTTTAAGACAGGGTCTTGCTCTGTTGCCCAGGTTGGAGTGGAGAGGCACAAGCACGACTCCCTGCAGCCTCAACTTCCCGGGCTCCAGTGATCCTCCCACCTCAGTCTTGAGTAGCTGGGGCCACAGACGTGCATCACCATGCCTAGCAAATTTTGTTTATGTTTTGTAGAGATGGGGGTCTTTCTGTGTTGCCCAGGCTGATCTTGAACTCCTGGCCTCCAGCAGTCCTCCTGCCTCAGCCTCCCAAAGTGCTGGGATTACAGGCATGAGACTCCACAGCCAGCCGTCACTTAAATTATGCTTAGCATCCCACAGTGTTTGTAAGTTCTTCCTGACTTCTAACCCAGTCTCTCCTCCCATATTCCAAGTCCTGTATTTTAGGAAGCAGAGGGATGTGATAGTAAAGGAGACTGAAAGGAGAATAAGGATTAGACCCAGCTGCAGGATGAGGTGCTTTTGGGAGACGGTCAAGCAGCGCTAGTTGAAGTTTTTAATGTTTCTCATGGGGCTGCATAGATGAGGCCACATCACCCAGCAAGGCTTCTGTCTCTAGACCAGGTACCCTGATGTTTGGCACTGACTCTATAAAGCATGGCAATGCTGGAGAAAAGCTTTGGGGGGTCACTTCCCTCCTCCGTTTTGCAGGTGAGGAAACTGATGTCTGGAAAGCAGCAGGCGTCAGTGGAGACACTCCTAGCCCTGCTGCCTTCTCACTGCACACACTTCCAGATTCAGACAAACCAGAAAGGAAACCCACCATGCAGGACTGTCCATGCGGTGGCTCTTCCTGTGGCCCCATTTCTAAGCGCTTCCAAGGACCTCACCATAGTCCAGGACCACAAGCCAAGGCTACCCCAGTGTTCTTACCATCCTGGGAATGGGAGGAGCCAGGCCCAGCTCTGTCCTGTCTGCCCCCCGGAAGCCTTCCCTGAGCGCTGGCCTCTTATTTACCCGTCTTTGTCTCTGGCTTGTTGGTCCCTGTCTTGTCTGATTAGGGAACCCCTGAGGTCAGAATCTTTGTCTCTCCAATCAGAGTGTCAGGCAGGAGTTGGGGGCAGATGCGGGGTCATTTCTACATGTGAGACCAAATAGTGGTCCTGTTTAAGTTGATCCCCTTGAAAGAAAATTCTGGAAAAGCTCCTCAGATGCACAGATACACAGAATCAGACCTTGGGCAAAGTGTGTAGTTGTACTTTTGAAGCTGTGCAACCTTGGACAAAATACTTGACTTCTCTGTGCCTCAGTTTCCTTATCTGTGAAGTAGGGGTGGTCATGTATCGATACCTTCCCCATGAGGTTGATGGGAGGATTGAGTTAATATAAAGCATTTCAGACAGTGCCAGTTTCTTACACGTACACACACACACACACTTCGGAGGTCTGCCAGGCCAGGGCTCATAGCCTTGAATCTACCCATGGTAGAGAGACAACCTGCCTTGCAGGCTACCTGCTCTCCCAGCAGCCATGCAGGGGATCTGTCTCTCTACTGCCGATTATCCCCTGCCCTGGTCAGAGCTTCTCCCCAAAGGTACCTCCAAGGCCACAGTTATCCAGGTCTCTGCTTTGGGGCTGAGTTCCACTTCACCATCACCTGCCACAGTGCACACGGACAGCTCCATCAGGAGAAGCAGGGCGAGGCAAGGCAGCATGGTGAGCCTGCACTGTCCCGGAACCCTCTGGGAGTCCCTCTCAGCCTGAAGACGCCTCTTGCAGGCTTTGGTTCGCTCTTTGGCTCCTTGAGTGTAGATAGGGGAAACTTCCCCTGTTTTCTGGTCCTTCCAGCTGTTCCTGCTTCTTTCCTTCAGCTTAACTGACCCCCAGGCCAGTTTCTGTGACTCCCCTCCCTCCCTGGCTGGACAAGCCAGTGATATTAAGGAGCTGCTCAGGAGGAGGGATCAGACCTCTTCACTGCCACCTCCTAACATTTGATTCCAGGGCTTAACACTCTGATACAACACCTGCCTCGCCTATGGCTGTTTCCCTGGTGGCAGGTGCACGGTGGGGCAGTGTGTGGGACCTGGAGCTTGCAGCTTCCAGGCTGGAAACCCTGAGGGGACCTTCTCATCTTAGGAATAAAGGGAGGGGGCCATATGCCTTCTCTCTTCCTAGTGCTCTGCTCCCCTGTGCAGAGAAGCCTCTCCCTGGAAATTAGCAGTGTCCCCTTTCTGTCTCTTCCTGTCTTTGAGCCCCCTCCTCTCCAGCACTCTCCTCCATCAATAGTCCCTGTGTGTGCATAAGAACACATGTCTTGCTCTAAGAGAAATAACAGTGCTTAAAGAAATGAGGCTCCTCACAAATGGGAATTGGGATTTGCCAGAAAAATGGCTGCAGGTTTCAAGCATCATTGGCTCTGATCTTTCCCCTGTTGTCAAAGTGATCTCTCTAAATCCCTAAACTGACTTGCCTCTCCTGCTCACCACCTTCCAGTGTCTCCCCACTGCCCTCGAGTGAATTCAAGCTCCCTAGCGTGGAGTTCATGGTCCTTCATTTAGTTCTTCCCTCTCACCTATCCACCCAGATCCATTCATCCATCTATCCACTCATCGGTCTAGAACAAGGGCTCTGTGGTCACAGAGGCCTGGATTCCAAATAGCTGTGTGACCTTAGGCACATTACTTAACTCTTCTCGAGAATCCTTGTCTGTAAAACAGGATTAATAATAGCACTTGTTTCCAAAGTTTGAGGATGAAATGAGAGAATGCCCTGGAGCTCTTAGCACAATGCGTGATGGTCAATATTTACCACCTGCTGACCTTTTTTTTTTTTTTCACACTACAATAGTTAATTTTATTTGTTCAAGAGCTCATACTGCAAGCATTAAACCAAGCATAGGCTTTGATTCTGTGAGCCCAAATTCACATATTGAAGAAGATCAAAGCAAACTGCGATCCATGTACACGGATGAAAACTAAAGGCTCAGAGTTAATAACATTGTAGTTTTTAAATTTCTACAGCCTAGAGCCCAGTAGTCACAGGTCTTTTAGGTCCTTCTGGATGTCCCACAGGGTATCTGCACTTTTCTTGAGCTGAGCAACTTCATCATCCTTTAGCTTCTGGTTGATAACGCTGGTTAATCCTCGGGCATTGAGGATACACGGAAGGCTCAGGAAGACTTCATTCTCGATGCCATACATCCCCTTTACCATTGTTGACACGGGATGAATCCTCGATAGATTTTTCAACATGGATTCAATAAGATCAGCCACACTTAATCCAGTAGCCCAGTTGGTGTATCCTTTTAGCTTGATGACTTCATAGGCACTTTCAACCACCATCTTATGCACTTCCTTCCAATTTTCACTATCAATGTCAGTTCCCATTTCTGGATTCAATTCCTGGAGAGAAACACCTGCCACATTCATGCCACTCCACACAGCCACACTTGAGTCGCCATGTTCCCCCAAAATCCATCCATGGCAGCTGCTGGGATGAATGCCAAGTTTTTCAGCCACAAGGTAGCGAAATCTAGCAGAATCCAGATTACATCCATTTCCAATCACGCAGTGTTTGGGTAATCCACTTAGTTTCCAGGTAACATATGTAAGAATGTCCACTGGGTTGGAAACCACAATTCTCATGCAATCAGGACTGTACTTGATGATCTGAGGAATAATAAATTTGAAGACATTAACATTTCTCTGCACCAGATTGAGCCGACTCTCCCCTTCTTGCTGACGGACTCCTGCAGTTACCACTACAGTCTTAGAATTGGCAGTCACAGAATAATCTTTATCTGCCACAATTTTAGCGTCTGAAGAAATAAGCTCCCATGCTGCAGATCCATCATTTCTCCTTTAAGCTTATCTTCCAAAACATCCACAAGAGCAAGTTCATCAGCCAGAGACTTTCCCAGAATGCTGATAGCACACGCCATACCAGCTTGTCCAGCACCCACTACAGTGATCTTATTGTTTGGGACTGTTGCCTCTTCTTCCGTAACTGGTGCAGTGAGTTTTTCCTTAAGAGTTGCCATTTTGCACAGGGGAGAGAAGGCTCTGGAGACCTCTGTAACAGCTATGCGGAGAAGACAATGTCAGCTGCCTTTTTTTTTTTTTTGAGATGGAGTCTGGCTCTGTTGCCCAGACTGGAGTGGAGTGGTGCAATCTCGGCTCACTGCAGCCTCTGCCTCCTGGGTTCAAGCAGTCCTCCTACCTCAGCCCCTGAGTAGCTGGGATTACAGGCCCCCGCCACCACGCCCAGTTAATTTTTGTATTTTAGTAGAGACAGGGTTTCATCATGTTGGTCAGACTGGTCTTGAACTCACAACTTCAAGTGATCTGCCTGCCTTGGCCTCCCAAAGTGCTGGGATTACAGGCATGAGCACCCGGCTTGACCATTATTACTGTTACTGTTATCGGCATTGGGTGAGGCAGTGGGCTGTAGAAGATGAGTAAGACACTGATCCTATAGCATCTCACACTTCAGGCACGGAGACCTCTGGTTGGCAGATAAGCTACGTTTGGTTTGACATGTGCCAGCATAGCGGTGGGAGCAAGGGAAAGGCACGTCCTCCTTCCCAGTGAACCACTACCCCTGTCCCAGGACAGGCTGTTGCCTCTGCTGGACCTCCCTTTCTCCCTGGTGAACTCCCATTCATTCTTAAACATCCAGCTTAATATTCACCTCTTACATAGAATTCTTCTCTCTCTATTCCTGTCTCCAGCAAGAACTAATTGGCTCCTTTTGCCAACATCTCCCACTTGGATCTCTATGGCTTCCCACAGGCCGCTGTGCGAGGTTGTGCAGGTTGTGTCCTGCACAAGGCTGGCTGCGGAGGGGGCCAGTGGAGGTGAAGGCAACCCCAGCTCTGCTCACTGATGGCTCTGGCGCTGCTCAGGGTGTTCACCCCTTGAAGCAGCAGCTTGGCTCCAGTTCTCCCAAAAGGGACAGCTGGGCTGAGGGCATCTCTGCTAGTCAGCCATGTGGTTGTTGACTATGCCACCAGCTCTCTGAGAGTAGGGCTATGATAGATATGTGCTTGGCATACAGTAGGTCCTTAATAAACCTGCACTCACCCTGAATCCAGGCCAGCCAAGTGAGAGATGAATAAGAGTAAGTATGGAGTGTTTGAGGGAGGACTCCCCCTCTACTCCAACCCACTTTCAGGAATCTTTTTGGTGGGTTCTAAACTGGAAGGCTTCAGAATCCCCGAATTTGCTAAAATGCAGCTTCCCCAGCTTAACCTAATTCCCAGGCAGCCAGTCCTGGCTTGTGGGTTGCTCTCAACTCTGTAGGGAGGCAGTCCCCCAGCCTCTCCCTGAACACCCCCAGGTGCAGGACGCCTAAAGCCTCACACTCCATTGTTTTCCGTTGTCATTAACAGGTTCTTCCTTAGAGGAAACAAAATGTTGCTTTTCATCCCCTTGGTTTCACAGGTGTGGAAACTGAGGCAGACCGGGCTTGCTGTGGGATACACTGAGAATTCATTGGCAAACTAACTTGGACCCCCCAGCCAGCTCCTTCCCACCTTCCAGTGGGGCCTTACCCACAGGGCTTCAGGCAGAATCACAGCCTGGGCCTCTGGACAGGGGAGATGGCCTTCCATTCTCCTGATGCAGATGGGATGACCTTAGTCTCTACTGAGTGTCTGAGCCTCAGTTTCTCCATTTGCAAATTGAAGCTGGTCCTTGTAGTGTGTAGTAAAGATTTCATGAATTCCTGCCGGTAAAACGTTCAGCAGAGTCCCTGGCACACAGCACGCGCGCAGTTAACCCTAACTTAATTGCTGTGGTGGTGATGATGACGATGATGATGATTTCATTCCTTCGAAAGAGCGCTGGTCTCCTGGCCCCCTCTCTGGCTCCCGACCTCAACCAGCGCCAGAGCCATCCTGCGTGATCCCGACCTCACCAGCGCCAGAGCCGTCCTGCAGGAGGCAGGATGTGGTGGGCGCACAGCAGAGACGAGGCGGGGGGCACGGGGCAGAAAGGAGAGGGCGACGGGAAAAAAAGCAGAGAAAACCCGAAAGGTCCGGAAGGCTGGGAGGGAGGCAGGGCATAGGCTGGAAACCGCGACTATTTGCAGCGTCGCCCTTGGGCTGCGGTCAGGCTGGCGCTGGCAGTCCTGGCGGCCGAGCCCG